CTCTCTCTCTCTCTCGCTCTGTGTCTTTGGATAGAAATAGATCAGTGCCGGGCTAGAAAGCAACAAGGGTAGATAATGGTGATCTCAGACTTTAGGGGGCATCAAACTATGATCCTCGCTGTCTGTTTTCAATGCTCCCTGTCACCTCCTCTGAGCATCTATTCCACTCAGCTCCATCATAACAGCGTTGCAATACCACCTTCCACAAATCCTCTTTTATTTTCACATCTGTGTCTTTCTTGCTTTTCTCTCGTCGTCCTTAAAACTATACACAAAGCACAGAATAGGCTGTTTGTCTGGTATTCTTTGTGATCTGACATCTACATAACAGAAGAACAAAAGCACTGTGTTTTTTTTATTTACACAACAGATTACTGTGACATAAAGTTTAATTGCATGACTGGAACCTCAGTGATTGAGGCTTAGTTTGATTTAGGCAACTAAAGCTACTTAGTTATGTCACGATCCTGGCAGTATCTCAGTGCTTCTTGTCAGTTCTCTCTCTCCCTGCCTGTCTTGGTGTGTATATGAGTGTGTGTTTGTGTGCCTGGGTGTGGCGACCTACTTTTTCCTGTTGGCATGCATCAGACACACCTGAGTCTACCTCCTGCAGCATATAAACCCCACCTTGACTCTCCATTCTCCGCCACATTGCTCCACCGGTACACCTGGTAGTATCGCCTCGACCAACCTCCGCTTTAGGAATGTTTCTGCTTCTACTGGACAAACTGAGACCAACGTTGCTGCTTCCCCTAAGACCTCCTCCTCAACCATACAGCTGAGTCCCCATCTGTTTCTCTGGAATCTCCAAGCTCAGCTCCCCCAGCCATTCTCAGACTCAGTTCATCTGCCAACCAGCCTCTGCAACTCAACTTACCAACCTTTCCTCCCTGAGTGTGTAGAGGAAAGAGGCATTTATCTAAAGACAACTCTCAATTTTCTGCTTTGAGATTAAAAAAAATAATAATTAAAAAAGCACAACACAGCTGTTACATTTGTTTTGCAACCCCTCAGTACCTCATTCTTACTGCAAAGCAGCATGAGCTAAAAAGTGCCTTCATGACAGTCGATCTGTGACCACGCTCCTTTGACTGCCACCGTCACCAAACATGTGACTCTTCCAGTGAAATGTGGAAGTTGGAAGCCTACCTCTGAAGCGCATCGATCTTGTCGGCTGTGATTCGTCTCAGAAGGTCCTCAAGCAGATCGGAGCTGTCAGGTGGTTGGACAGGTGGTTTGACGGAAGACGTGTGAGTGAACCAGCCAATCAGAACGCCGAGGACAAAAAGTCCCACCCCTGCTAGGAGGTATCTATGTGGAGGAAAATACAAAGGGAAAGGTCAAGAGATCATATTATGGCCACTTACCAGCTTTTCTTCTGAGCTTTCACCACTTTGGACCTTGAGCTAAGACATTTTCATCAAACTGCCAAGGTCAAGAATGAAACTCTCGCTCAACAGATCATATATATATATATATATATATATAATGGTCTGTCTTAAGAAGTCTTTCCTTGAAACACTGGCCAATAGAGTCCTTCAAGTACATCTAGCACTCCAAAGGTGAGACAATGCCGGTGCTTGATGTACAGTCTCACATTTCGTAGGCTGCTATTATCTTTTTATAGCAACTGAGTCGGTTTTGGTGGTAGAGACAGACCTTGACTTCAAGTACCTTGTAGTGGCACTTATCGAGATAACGTACAACTTCTCCATCCTGGCAGGTGCTGTGTCAATTGGATGGGTGTCTGGGATTGTTCTAGGGCTACTCAGGCGTCACTCTCAACCTATCTTGTGCGGTATTTTAATGCCAATGAGTGGGGTAATAGAGATATATATTGGCTAGATGATGACATGAGAGTAGGCGACCACTCGTGTCATGTTAGATGATATGTGAGGGGACAAGGAGTAAGGGTAAGCTCTACCTGCAATTGTATTTATGGGAAGGAAAAGACCAATATCCACATTTATAGTCATGCTGATATGAAAACTGGTTCATGGTTTGAGGCACAACGTTCATAAAAAGAGCAGGTTCCATAATAAAACAGGATTAGTGTTGTATGTATGACACAGAAAGCATGTGAATAGTTGTGCAAAAACAAAAGTAGGAAACAAGCTATTTAAGTTGAATTCCTTCCCTGTTGTTACATTGATCTCTTCTCTGCTCTGGTAGTGATTAAATTAATTAGAAAGAGTTCAGTAAATTACCATCAGCCAAAACAAGGCTTCTCTCTAAGACTGCCTCGATGAAAAACAAACCTAAAGTTGGTCCTTTGGGCCCATAGTACAGATGCCATTTAGATGACCCTGCCTTCTTAGTTTTGACCAACTGGATGAAAACACTCATGAGGTTTTAGCTGCGATGGAAGTGCAAGGGTCTCATGTGTAATGTTGTTGACATCTGATGACTTTTAGATGGATGTCTACAATATGATATAGTTGTTGTATGTACCCACAATATCTGAAGGGAGGACGTTCTGACCTACAAAGGCTTCTGCAGCAGTCCTTGAATTACCTGACGAGGAAACAGTGGAGCCGTCTTTGGCCCTTATGGCCAGGAGCTCTGGTGAAGTGGGAGATGTAGTTGGGATCTTCCTGGAGGCGTTCAAACCGTCCATGTGGTGAAACCGAGACAGACGGCTGGATGGGCTCCATCAGCTCAGGGTCGGGGTCGGGACCGGCGTCTGAACACCCTGAGAGTCATAGCAGTGACAGAAAGTGTAGATTAAGCTCAACAGTCTGCAGCGACAGAGACTGATTTCTCAACTGTTGCACATAATTTGGTTGTTTTGCTCTGATGTTAAGATTTACATGAAATTAAGACTTAATATTTGCAAAAACACTTGAACATTTTAACAGATGTGTGACATAAAATACCTTCAAAAGAGTCAAATAAGATTCTGTAACGTCAGATTTAGCAAAGTTGAAACCAAGGGATGTCAGTCAGGTTCATGTAATTGTAGGAAGCCAAAATTGTAATCATAAATAATAGTTTTTTTAATTGTCGTGTCCTTCTACTGCATTAGCTGTTTTGATTGAGCAAAGAACTTTTCTTCTTTACTGGTGCAGTCAGTAGGTTTCTGCCTGCACTGGCACTCAACTTTTTTTCTTTTTTTTTCAATTATAATTATCCTTTAGATCACTTAGGAGAAAAGCAACAGCTGAAATATTTATTTCATGGATCAGGTCGGGAGAGACTGATTGACCCAGAAAGGAAGAAAAGAACTTTACAGTATGACAGCTAGGACAGTAGGTACCTGTGAATGGAGGGACACTAGAACATCCTAATAACTACCATTGTATGAATGACACCTAATTTTAACAAAAATATATGAATATGTGATTGTGGTCACAGTTGGGAGCCCTGCATTCTGGCAGAGGTCGCCCCACAGCAGATGATTACCATATGAGGTTCTTGCTCATTTGCTTGTAACACTGAAGCCACCTGACTTTGCTGATCTCCGAACATCATCCTTCTAACTGCAGCATGAGGCGGCCTTTTGTAGTTTTAATTGAATTGTCTCAACATTTCAGACATTCATGTTCATCACAGGGTGAAGTATGGATCCTCTGGTGGCCTTTCAACTTTCTCATCTAACTCTACAATCATTGAGGAATAGTGCAAACGTGACTTAACACAGCATGATGCTACACATGCTAAGCTAAGATGATACATGTAGTTGGCACTATAATGACTTTACATTGTCATTGTGAGCACGCTGACATTAGCATTTTGCTCCAGTCACCACTATGAACAAGCACACTGTTAACTTTTTGAGTTTTCAACCACGATCAGAAGAATTTATGGATCATCTTGAGATCACAATGATATGAAAACCAACACAAATTTCAATACTGTGATCATCGAGTAGTGAGAAGAAGTCAAAATGTAAAGACCACCGCTAGCTTAGCTGTTGTTTCTACTGGAGGCACAGACCATCCTCTGGCTGTGGTGGGAAAACAAACTTCTAATTCTTAAAAAAAGACTAAATACTTAATGATTAGGAGTTTACAGTGGAGCTTTAAAACGATCCGCCTGCTTGCTTGAGAGGGCATTTGAGAGAATAGAAATCTACCGCTGATACAGACCTTCAGGCACAATTTAAAACAGAATCCTCCAAATCCGAGGAACTCGAGTCCAGCTCCAGGATACGTTTGAGGTTTCTACCTTTTGCAGCTTCTGGACTGTTAACATTCTCACATCGAACACAATATTGTTGTGTGCGAGAGTTTCTGATTGATTCTTGTGAAAGTTACACAAAAAACACTGAATTATGTTTGCATCATAAATATGTTAAAACATACATCATGAGAAACCGTCATTAGTGCTTTAAAGCATCACAGCAGCAAACATCATGTTCCAGAAGAGGAGAACATTAATCCGATCTGACATGAGTTTTATTTATTCTTTTACTCCTGTGGCAGTTTTTGACACTCGTGTTGAAATGTGTGGATTCTCACTGATGTGGTGAAATGTTTAATAAATAATTCACAGACTCATCATGTTAACTGATCTGACACCAATCAGACGGTATACATTTACATTTAATATGAGCTGCGATTGTCCTCTTAGCAGAACAAACAAATCAACTCTTCCTAATCACGTCGTGCTGTTCTGAGATCAGCCGTATTAGTTAACACACTAAAAAATGCATCGTCGTGTAATACAAGCTGCAACTGCTGCTGTATTACTTTTACACGCAGGATTTTAGTCCACAGCATTTTCAGCTGTGTGTTCATTAGGTCTGGCTGGTCCAACACGCAGAGCCGGCCCTAGGCATAGGCAGTATAGGCAAATGCTAAGGGCGCCGACATCCACGGGGGGCGCCACAAGCTTGCCAGGCTAACTGACATGTATTCAGTCAAGTATTTATCAACAAGCGCCGATGCAGTTTCTCTACCTTTAGCAGCAAAGACGCTACGTTAGCGTCTTAGCTGCTAACGTTAGCAGCAAAGATGTTACGTTAGCGTCTTAGCTGCTAACGTTAGCAGCGAAGACGTTAGCGAAGACGTTAACGTCTTAGCTGCTAACGTTCGCAGCAAAGACGTTAAGTTAGCGTTTTAGCTGCTAACGTTTGCAGTAAAGACGTTACGTTAGCGTTTTAGCTGCTAACGTTAGCAGCGAAGACGTTAGCGNAGCGAAGACGTTACGTTAGCGTTTTAGCTGCGAACGTTTGCAGTAAAGACGTTCCGTTAGCGTTTTAGCTGCTAACGTTAGCAGCGAAGACGTTAGCGAAGACGTTAGCGTCTTAGCTGCTAACGTTAGCAGCAAAGACGTTAGCTGCTAACGTTAGCAGTTAAGACGTTAGTGAACCGTCTGAAGACGACGGTAGAGGACCTGCATCGGCGCTTGTGGTTAAATATTTGCCTGAATCAGGCCAGCTGACAGCCTTCCCTGGGCCCTGGACAAGACTCGTCCGTTTCTGTCAAAAAAAACACGTGTTTTGTCAGGATGTTTATCATAGCTAATGGATACTAAGAGCTAGCCAAATTACATTACAAGGCTGACAAAGGCTGGCTACGCTGTTTCTTACCTCGCTCTACGCTGACGTTACTAGTTCCAGCATCTGTCCCCACCTTTTTTGAAGTATTTTTTAAGCAAATCTCTAAGGCCTCTATTTTCTTCCTCTCTTTTTCTCTTCTTTTTCCTTTTCTGAGCACCAGACTTGGTGCTGAAGTGCAAAATCCGAACTTCCAATAAAAGGACATCAGATGTTGATCAGGGGCCAAACCATTTTATGTTAGAGGTGGGGGTGGAGGGCAACTCCAAAGATATTAAGAACAGTTCAGACGAAAACAAATTAAAACTTCTAACTCAAATATTGTTTCTTTCCATTAATAGCCCTTCTTTGGGGAAAAAAATCCATAATTCAATGAGGGTCCAGTTCTGGGCCCGGGACAACAGACCCGTTTGTCCCCCCTATCGGCGAGCGTGGCCTGAATACACGTCAGATAGCCGGGGAGTGTCACAAAGACTTGTTTACACAGTTTCATTTAGTGTGTTGTTTATACTTAAATAAAAATTTGAATACATGCATACAGTTTGTGTTACTGTATGAACATTAGGAGTGAAATTCACTGTGATGCTCGGCGCAAACTACAATCTTGCCTGGGGCACCAAATGGGTCAGGGCCGGCCCTGCCAACACGTCAGCAAGTGGGATCTCGTGGTCACTGCGGCTCTATTGTTGGCAGGAAAACATCATGATTTTATATCAAAATTGGCCCAAAAATATGTTTAAAAAATGTGAACATACCCTATCCAGCATAAATGCAATGGAAAATTGTGAGTGCATCACAAAGTCCTACCTGATCTCTGGCAGTCCACGTGTTGCATCTGCATGCGGTCCATGCTTGGTCCCGATTCCTGCAGCTCCTCCTTGTCCAGGTCCCAGTCCAGGTCCAAGCCTCCAGAGCAGTGCAGAACCTCACCGACCAGCGGGCCGCCCTGGGCATCGCACACCTTCCTGTACGCCATGATGTCGCCTGGAGCAGACATCAAATGAATGTTGTTTTTATTTATACACTTAACATTCTCCCATTTTTATCAATATACACCAGCATGAAGTTCCAGAGTCTCTGAAATTGTTCCTGGGATGGCAAAATCATTGTTGGGGCAAAGAAACAAACTACACACAGACACTGGCCTCAAACCCAAACCTTAAACCTCCATCTTCAGTCACTGCTGCACAATGCAAGAAGGCACAGAGCCGATCAGGCAGATGAAGCTGATGGTATATAATTGTAATAGAGCTCATATTGATGGGTCTCTCATCTTCACTGCATTTCAGCCCAAACTATGATCTGATCCTGAACATAACTCTGTAGTTTCTACCTCATTTAACCTTTACTACAGCTCATCGTATCATTAAATGGTGAGTTATTCAGTGCAAACAATCAAATCATTCTCACTTGACAAGATTCTTCTCCTGTGCCACACATTTGGTCATTATTTATTACAACAAGAACTGTGCAAATTTAACACATCTTTGCAAGAAATACATTCCCACACACTGAATACTCAGAAATGTGAACATGGGTAGTTATGATAATGTACGTTGACATATGCAGTCTGTACTGGACTTATCTGCAGCCATCCCAGGCAGCATGTGTTAAAAGCCTGGTATCAGCCACCTGGGTCAGATTAAGACTGCTCATTTGACTTAAAGTAATGGATGTTACATCAGTGCTGGATATAGCAGAAAATGTGATAAATGTGGTTAAAAGCTACTTGGGCAAATTGACTGACCAGAGCCTCTCAGCACACAATTATGAAGAGTAAAAGCACCGTAGGGTGCTGCAATGCATTTACACATATTAATGTGACTGAGAGAAGGCGAGTTAGGCCGAGGCACTGAGCTAAGTACTGGATGTGTGTTTCTGCAGCGTGTGTGTGTGTGTGTGTGTGTGTGTGTGTGAACAGTGGTGATGGTGTGTTGGTTGTGTTTTTCCCTGTAAACCCAACTCTGGGGTCAATACAGCTCCTAAACAGCACCATTAAACCTCACCACGGACGGCATCACATGCATGAGAACAGACTGTGTCTAAGACGACTGACTGGAGATCAGCTGCTGCATAAAACCTCCCTGCCAGTGTCTGTATGTCGTCAAGTTTAACCGGGCTTTTCACAAGCTTTATTGTCAAATTTCACCATAAATGGGCAAATGAACTGCTGAATCGATAACCGCCAAGGGTAAAATAAATAAAGAAAAGTAAAAATGCATCAGACTGGAAGTCAAACTTTTAGGTTATTATTCTGTGAAAAGTTGTCATTTTATTCAAACTGCTTCAAAGCAAAGGGAAGAAGAAGAAAGAACATATGAGAGGAAATGATGGCAACATGAAAGCCAGTGATTTAATAAGTGATGGATAAGACCAAAACATTTCTTAAGAGGAGAGAGTGTATTAATCCATAGCCAGCCTTCATTATTTCTGATTCTCAGATGTCCTTGAACAGGAGATATAATGCATGTGTTTTTATCCAATTATTCCTGAGCTACTATTGTGATTGTGTAAGACGCTGTAGAGCAGAAGAAAGGTGAGTTTCATGTCATCTCTTTTTCTAAATGAACCAAGAAATACAATAATAATCATTAATTTTACTAAGTGTGACATTTTGGAGGTATAATTTGGAGACTTTTTGTATAAAGTCATCCAGCATTTATTACAGGATCAGATATTATAGCAGCAACTGATATTTATAATATTTACTTTTTACATTCGTGTCTTTTGTGTTTGTGCTGTTTGTCACCATTTGTTCTGTTTGCATTTCAGGTCTTACCCCTGACAGAGGCAGTCACTGCACATAGTCCAAAAACATACACCAGAATAGAACCAGAGATCAACACCTCAGCATGCTGACAGACCAATGACGTCGTCTTTACCGCATCACCACGCGACCAGTCAGTGAGTGTTCAGGTCAATACCTTCAAATACACAAGCAGAAAGAGGAGAGGAAATCCAGACACACCTGAACAGAAGAGATGCCTAATGGCCACTCAAAGGCACATTTTGCAACCATAAACTTCCGTCTCTTAGCAGAGTGTTCGTCATCCTGCTGTGGATGAACGTAGGTGGAGAGGAGGTATAACTTGGTCGAGAGGAGAAAAGCCTTCAAGAGCCAGTCTAGCCGCTTGTTTACTCCTACCATGAACCTCCTTCAACACCCAACACCACCACTGTACCACAGACACGCTAGGTGGGCCCGTCTATCTGGACGACTGTGGGCAGATTTTATCAATGCAACAGACGAGATACAGTCAAGAAACTTCACAGGTGTGTAGTTCAGAGCAAAATAAAGGCAGAGGTCAGAGATGGGCGTGATCCAGCCTCGAGACTCCCGAGTCCTCCTCGACAAAGATCAGCATGTTGATGGACTCGATGCTTTGTGTTTCTGAGCGTTTCACATCAATCTGGACACGCTTCCCGCAGACACACACACACACACACACACACGTCTGAGTAGTTCAACATCGCCATCAGTGTAATTACAACAATGCAAGACGCCAAACTTTACAAGTTCCCAGTCGAGATCAGAATGAATGCTGAGTCCGAATTATGCAGAAATGACGACTCATGGATTGGATCACTGGGCGTCGCGGCTGGCCTGATCCCGTCTTAAAACGTTCTAAATATTTGCTGGATTGTCCTTGTTCAGGTAGAGGATCCTTTTTTTTTTTTCTTTCTTTTTTTAAAGCAGGTTGAAGAACGGCTCCAGCTCTAAGTGGGAAAGGATGAGGCAGATGCACAGTGAGTCCTGGAGAGGACAGAAGACAGCTACAATCGGGAGAAAAAGGCACAGGAGCTCCTGCAGAGGCATAAAGCAAAGCGGCAGAAAACAGCGAGGCAGGGAAGAGGAGGCAGAGTGTTTATAGATGAATGAGAGAGGGTAAAAAGCAGAGGGAAGAGGGAGTTCCTTGGCATCAATCTTCAATGCTCCACCACACTTTCATTACTTCTAGCTCAATGCAGATGAAGGCTCCTCTCAGTAAAATGGAACAAAAGTTCATTTAACTGCTGACCTCCTGTTACAGCCCCACACACTGCGCCGGGCTTCACCTGATGCCTATCACCGCCGGAGTGCCAGTGAAACCCGTGTTATTAGACTCCCACCCTTATTTTTCTTCTTTGTTCATGTAATGCTGCGTTTCCAAGTCATCTAGTTTCTTCGTGTTCTGTCAGGGCACATCGACAAACTTAAAAAAAACAGACCGATCCCTTACTACAGACATGTAGGTGAGTTACATCTGGTGGGTTTCTCATGCCACACTGAAGCCACATGTGGGAGCACAAACGATAGGCTGAGGACATTTCTGTATTTTTGTAAACAAAACCAACAATGTGCTGATTCTACAAATAAGAGTTTTGAAGCCAAACACACGTCACTCAATCGGGTGTTCCTTCATTACCATGAGCACACACTGCGGTTTATTCAGACTCAGCATCACACACACCTTCCTGCTGCTGGAGACACTCAGGAGAACACGAAACAACATTCATCTGTGTCTGAAAAATCTCTACGAAGACAATATTTCCTCTTACATGTATAATATTTTAATAAAGGCAGCACCTGGTGGTTGTAGGGAATTACTGAAACTATGTGCAGTATATGCGCTCTGTTTTAAAAGACTTATGTCTCGGGCTTTGGGCTGAACACTCTGGGAAAGCTGCACAGTACTAAGGAGCAGACTGTTGCTTTGCTGCGTTTACTCTCTTCCGGTTCATCGTCAATAAGAACTGCACAAACAACACAACGTGCGACAGAATCCAAAGCGAGACACGGGAGGCACATTGGCCCCATCACAGCGTTCGATCTGTTGGTCGGCTACACACTCTGACCCCCGCTCAGCCACCGCCGCCGCCGCCGTCACCACCGGCCGTCTGTCAGCAGCAGATCCCAGAAGCTGAAAATCTTTACCAGCGTCATCAACATCAGGAAGTTAGCGGGCAAAAATAGTGTTTCAGTAGCCCACATAAGGACTATATAGGAAGAAAACAGCATTGCTTTTATTTATGGATTCATTTTAAGTCCCTGCTCATTGTACCAAGCAGTAGGAATCCGAGAATCGGATCTGGATTCGGCATTACAGGTACCAGTAAAAGGTTCAAAACGCATCAGGACGTTTGTGTGATTTAAACAACTGTCGCCGGAAAAATGACACTCACTGAGCACCAGTGCTGCACAATGCACCTGGTACATAGCGAGTTTAATGTGAAGGGAGGCGAAGTAAGTCGTGCTGCAACTTGTTTTCGCTGCTTGATGAAAAAGAAAACCTCCCAGAGTTCTCATTTTCTGTGCTTAATCTTCAGGAGAAGTCTATTTGATGGAACGTAATGTAGTCGCATTTAAGGGCTTCTTGGAACTGTTGAGATTTTTAAGCTTCATTCACAAGACACAAAGTTTGTCAACATGCAAGCTCCACATGTGCACAGCAAAGTGAGCGAGGAAGAGGAAAGGAAGACTGAAAAGAAAGATTTGGCTGCATGAAATTAAAAAAAAAAAAACAAAACAAAACACATTGACTGTTCTGACATTTCTGGGCTACGATAAGGATGATGTTGACCTAAAACAAACACTGTGGTAGCCACATGAGAAAGGGTCCAAATAGCTTAATATCAGGCTTTTATTTTAGTTTATTCTATTTTCTATGCAGATGCAATCTCCTACAAAATCACCCCAATCGTTCTGGCTTGATTCATGATTTTCAAATAAAGTTATTCATGTAATCTGTTTGTTTGTTTTTTTCTCCCCAATTCAGAACAAAAAGTATATCACAGAAAAAAATAATATTGCAATGTCGGTTTGTGATTTATGCAGCTCCAGTTTGCAAACAACAAACAAGCAGACTGGTGGAGTAAGACAGCAGAGAGGTCGGGTGATGGGAGTGGTCCTCGGGTGATGCACACGTCTCCATGTCAGTGTGATAAAATGGGAGCCTATCACAGCGTGACAGATGGCAAAGACGCTTCTGAAAACGC